AAGCTCATCCCTGTGAATTAGGGGCCCAGTGAAGTCATTAAACCCTAATCAAAAGCAGCTAATCAGGAATCAGTGGGAGATATTCCGATTAATTGCAGCTGGAGCCAGAGCTGGGAAGGGGGGTGGCCTTAAGGAAAGGACAGCAGGGTCTTGTGCCAGCTTGAATAGTGGGTCTCAGGGTCTCAAAAGTATTTAGGGGATCTCAGAAAACACTTTGCTCTTGGGGGGTCCCCATGATTTCCAAGATGCACTTTAAAGCAGCTATGGTGTGTGGATTTTCTGCTGCCCCATGGTGCTAGGGGTCTTACAAGGCTTCTCTGCCTGTTGGAGGGGGAGAGCTCTCACTCACAGCTCTTAGCAGGGATCCATTCCCCACATCTCTTTACAGCTGAGACTCTCCAAGTGCTTTACAGATTTCAGAGGTAAATACCAACATCTTGACTTTACAGGAAACAGAGAGACATGCAAGAAGTGCTCTGACATGCCAGACTTTGCTCAGGCTTTGTCTGCAGCCCAGTGAAGATTCCACTGCAGTTAAAACAGGTTTGGGAGCTGATCAGCCTCAGCTGTGTCAGGATGCCCTGCAAGGGAGGACACTCAGCTGACATTTTCCTCTTCTGCTAACTCACGTTCACAGATGAGATGAACAACTTCAAACCAGAAGATTTCTACACACTGCAGGGATGGCAAATCATCCTCTGGCTGCTGGAAACCAACCTTTGGGGAAGGGAAGACATGCCCAAGTCAGAAAGAAAAGCTGCATTCCCCTCAAGGTTTCGTTTCCTACCTACCACCCTATGCATGTGCTAATTTCCTCTTCCTCCTCCCTGTGCTGTGCTATTGATTGCTGCCTTGCTCACTCTGTGGATTTGGGGAAGGAGGAGGGACGTCCCCAGGGTAGGTCAGGATAAATCAGCACTCACTCCGTCTCTGCCGTGGCTTCTGCATCCCTTACTCGAGGTCTCCATTGCATCCTTGTTCCTGTCGCAATTTTTCTGCCAAATGCCATTTTTACCCTCCCCACACCTCCCGGGGGAGCTCTTATTTATGGCCAGTGCAACAAAACTGAGCGACACCAGCTGTTTCCCAGCCTGCAGCAGCACATCCATCACGGGGGGCTTTAGAGAAAGCCTTTTGTTTAATTATGGGATCACTCCTTTTCTCTCTCCACTCCCTTTCCCCTCCTGGCCTCCCTTTGCAGCACTCCAGCGAGGAGGCCAGGAGGTATTTCATTCTCTGCTGGCAACTCCAATGATTTTTGGATGTTCTCACTTCACCTTGCTGCTGGTGCAAACCCTTTTTCATTGCTCAGAACACTTAACACCTGTGAGGAGAGGGTAAAGGGTCCTTCTCTGCACAGGCAGTTTGGGAACAATAAATACCATCCTACAAATATTTTTGCAGAAGGACATGTAGTGGCCCTGATTTCTGTCCTCTTCCCTCGTATGTAGTCAGGGTTTCTTTTGATAAGAAGGAAAACAAAAATCCTAAAGGTCTCACTGAAGGAGCATGAGAGAAATTTTCATGCTATCCTTTCCTATTTACTCAGTTTCTGATATGGCAGATGCCTTAAATGGTTTGGGGGATTTTGTTTGTTTTGCTTTTTGTTGTTTGTTTTGTTTTGTTTTGTTTTGTTTTTTCACAGAGCCCACTGTCTGGAAATGCATCATGAAGAAGACTGAAGTTCATCCTCTGTGGCTGAGACTCTGAAAAGTCACCCACCAGTGACAACATGCAGGTAAAACACCTTTTGGGCAAGTGCCTGCACAGGGGTGAATTCAACACCTCCCACTCCCTGGCAGAGCTTTTTTATTAGAAGACTTGTTTATTCTGAGAATTATGAGGAGGAGGAGAAGCAGAATTTTCTTGTCTGAAGCTCTCAGAGCTAGAGAAATGGATGGTGCTGGGTGGAACATTTGGTTCCTCTGAGGCGCTGACATTGCCTTGGTGGTGATACGAGGCAACAGGAATGGAAATGCACTTCTCCAGGAGAGGGAAAAGCTTGTGAGCTCAGCCTCGACAATAATTCACCTGGCTGTGTGTCTGGCCCTGTGCCCCAGGATCCCTTCCCAGCTCTGCTTTGCATTTTGCAAATTGTTTCAAGAAGTGCCCGGTTTTCATGGGCCTGTCGCGGGGTGATGGATGGCTGGGGACGCCCAGCGAGGATATCTGTCTCCACCAAGGCTCTGTGAGTCAGCTACCCCGTGTCTAGCTGCTACTTTTCTGCCTTAAAAGCCTCAATATTCTCCACTCAGCTCACCTTCCTGCTCTTTCCTGGTCTCCAGATCCATTAGTCTGTCTGGGCTGGTACCCATTAAACTGCAGAACATGGGCTACTCCGAGCAATCTTATCAGAGCTGCTGCTTTTAAAGGCAGAAATAGTAAGAAACTGAGTCACCAGTGCAGGCAGTCTGGCACTTGGATTTAGACAGAAGTTTTGTCAAGGCTTGTTCTTGTTTGTGGAGAACCACAGAAGCTGCTGTGGACAGTATTTGATTGCTGTGCCAGTGGTGATTAATAAATAGTTGGCTAATGCAAACCAGCAGTGCCCTGGGTACAAAAGTCTGAGTTCTGCAATGTTGCTGGTACCAGTGGCCTCTGTGCCACCTCCCAGATGCAGAGAGGCTTCTATGGGGAGAAGAACTTACACCCCCAAGGGAGGAAACTGAGGCACAGGGGTTCAAACTGTGATGCCAGGTTGCTCAGGCAGTGCCTGGGGCAGGTAGATCTGCAGATGTGCCAAGAGGCTCATCCCTGATTGAGACATGTCTTAACCTGCCCTGTGAGTTTTTTTTCTGTACAATAATTTCCAGAGTGTTTTTTT